GAGAGAGAGAGAGAGAGAGAGAGAGAGAGAGAGAGAGAGAGAGAGAGAGAGAGAGAGAGAGAGAGAGAGGGTGGAAGTGGGAGGAGTTAGGGACTCAGGAGGGCCAGCGGGAATGGGAGCCGGGAGCGGGAGCGGGGAAGGCAGCAGGAGGCAGCGGCAAGAGTGCGTGTGTGTGTGTTTATGTGGGTGTGCACCTACACATTTCTTTCTGGTTCTTTGTGTTTTTTTTTCTTTTGTTTCTTTTTCCTTCTCTTCATTGGGGCTCTCTGCACTACTCCAGACTCGTGACAAAATTATAGAGTCGTTCTAGAGCTGTCAGAGTCACGAAAAGTTCTAAGCCGTACGCATGGCCGCACTAGCTCTAGACTCTAGAAAAGCTAGAGTTGCCCCGTCTAAAACCTACGCATGGCTGCACTTGCTCTGGACTCTAGAAAAGCTAGAGTTGCTCTGTCAGGACAGCGCCATCCTGGTTTGTCCGTCCAGACTCAAGGCCCACTCTAGGAAAACCAAGGCCGCAAGGCGTGTCAAGGGTCCTCCGAAACTCCCTAAAAAAAACGGCCCTTGCAGGCTGGTGCTCTAGATAAATCTAGAGTGAGGACCGACCCGCTCTGACAGCTCTAAAATGAAAAATCTAGAGCGAACTTAGGGCCTTGCTGCACTACTCTAGACTTTCGAGAGTTCGACTAGCATTGTCAGAGAGGCGAGACTCTCAAAATACCGGTCGTCGCTGCACTTACTCTAGCACTTACTCTAGCACTTACTCTAGAACCTGTTACACTAAACGCTCTTTTGAAACCCTGGGCGGCTTTGGACTTGACAGAAGAGCTGTACCACTACGCTACGGGGCAACGCCAGGCTGGTCTGGCCGTCGGGACAGGAGGTCCACTCTCGAAAAACAAGCCGATTGGCGGCAAACTCGCGAGCACAATTGCAAATTCGTTTTTTGCAGCCGGGCAACTCTCTACGTTTTGAGAGTGGCGTTATAGCGTACCTTCTGACAGCTCTCGATCGGGTTTCGAGAGTTTCCCGATCGAGAGAAGTGCAGCGACGACCCACTCTCGAAACTTCGAGAGTCTCCAATAGGGCACCGAGGCCCTTCCTCCGAGTTCCTCCAGAAACAGCTATCAATATTTTTTCTTTTGAAAGAAATAACTTCCGTTCTACTAGTATATGCCATTGGTCAATCCGATCTATTACATTGATAAAACATAAATAGCAGTTAGTCACTGTTAGTGCATGAATTTTCATATTAAAAAAAATGAAAGAAGGTTCCCACACAAAGGCACTAGCACAAGTAAAAATGGTCTCTATTACTTTTCTCGAGTCGTTCTGACAGCTTTAGAACAGGTTTTTGAGCGCCCATTTATGGAGTAAGTGTAGCCATTCCGCACTCGAGAAAAAGCTCGAATCTAGAGTAGTGCAGCAAGGCCCATTTTCTCTCCCTTTTTTTTTTTCATTTTTTCGGGGCCAGGCAGTGCCATGCACTGCCAGCACCCCTAACTGACCACCCAGGACCCTTTCCTTGGCTCCCCCAGTGGCTCTGGGGGTTCAACTGCGGAATTGAACTCCACATTTGCGCGTGTTTA